AAAGTGCCAATGAAAAAGTGTTATTCGTTTTTTGATATCTTTTCAAATAAAGTCAGAAAAAAATAAAATTGATATTGTCAAATTCTCGTTTTTCCCAAATATCTCAGCAGGCCATGAAAATTCTTCAAGTTTCTAAACGGCATGTAAATAAGCTTTAAAGAACACAACTTTTTCCTAATTTAACCTAAGCTGTATCTCCAACAGGTACTGAGATTCCCATGCTTAGGATCCTTATCTTGGACACACTGTAGAGGAGATGTCTCCTAGTGGCTTGTCCACCTTCCTGGAAAGGACAGGATGGACGATGGCATAGGAAGACAACTCTTCGGGAGGATGTACAATGGGTCACATGTGGACCGAATGCTGTGAGCACTCACACTCACCTCCCTACTCTACAGATACAGATACCTTATTTTCTTGAAGGTCACACTCAAACTTCTAAGGAGAATATTGTCTGCGGAGAAATATTGGCAAATTATGTTGTTCGTCCCATATATCTAGAAAAAAAATCTTCAAAACATTCATCCACGGGTTCAAGAAATGGTGGCCAACAAGAAAAATTTGAAAATGCTGTTGTTTCCCAATAAAATGGTATGCCTCCACATTTTCTTCAGGCCAGTAAAGGATTGGTTGGATCAGACATACCCAGGCATGTGGAATGGTGTGCACGGGCCGTTTAAGTGGCCAGCTTGTTCACTTGAGCTCTCTGGGACTTTATCGTATGAAAAATTTATATTATATAACCTGAAACAGTAGTGAAACTCAGGGCAGAATTATCGAAACATTCGAAAATATCAGAAATTCAATTTTTTAATACATAAGATGCATAATAATGTGATTAAATCAAAGTGCTATCGTTTGGTGCTCTCAAAATTAACATTACTCTATTGCAAGATATATTACTAGTTTATTTCTTTTTTCAATGAACATTTATTTCAAGAAATCTGAAATAGTTTGGCAGAGTTATGGAATTCCTAGCCCCAAATTCAAACATCAATGACCCCGCAACCGTTTATGGAAATTGAAAAAAGTGAGGGCCAATACACAGACAATTGAAATACATTTCATATGAAATACCATACGAAAAAAAATTAGCAGTGTCCTCTCGGAGGCAAGTGATGTCACTCTATCAGCTGTTTTATAAAAGAATACTGAAAATGATTTCTTATTAAAAAATTTTTGTCCGGCTCTAATATTTTGCCAGATGCGAAAGTTATGAGGAGGGACTATTTACATTCGCCCTGTATGTAACATTCGTCATGAACAAAGCAACTCAAGTGATGGTAATTATGAACTGAAGAACATCAAATGGTTATATTATGAAATGATTTGTTTAACTGATTTGTAGATAATGATTTGTAGAAATTAATGAGTTGAGTGATATCATCACTAGCATTTTCAAACTTTTATGAATATCTTCAACGAAATATGATGGATTCACTAGAAAATATGATTGATTCGCCAGTTTCACAAGTAGGCACTTTTCAAACTCATATTTTCTTCTACAATTCAGCTGAAAGTGATGAATATTATCACTTACCTGGATAGTAAATGTCTACATCAATAGTTACAGCATTTCCTGGCATGAAATTTCCGCTGTCAATATCATCTTGTCTGATACTTTCAGAGGGATAGTCAAATTCAACCTGAGACCACTGAAAAATCACTTTCAAATCTTCGTTTGCTGCCAAACTGGAACGAACAACTATACTGCAAACTCCCAATAGGAGACAGATGAATTTGGATCCTGTAATAATTTTTAATAAATTAAGAGTGAATGAGTTGTTATCCTTTTTTTTGACAAATACAACACCGCAGTCATACATCAGCCACCGTATTCACCAGATTTGCCTCTCTGCGACTTCTTCTGTTCCCAAGATTGAAGATACACCTGGAACGACGTCGTTTTGCGGAGATTGAGGAGATGAAAACCGAATGGCTGAGAATGCTCAAGGACATACCAAAAAGTGCATGTCAGAACTAATTCGAGGATTGAAAAAACGCTAGCACATGTGAGGGGGAATACTTTCAAGGGTACTAAATATAATTTGATGAAAAAATAAATATTTTTTTGAGAAAAATGAAAATTTACCTCACTTTTTAAACAGACAGCCATTACGAAGTTCTGATGAAGCCAATAAGCATACAGAAAGAATCCGAGAAACTCCACACGTTGATTTACTTTTAAAAATTTCATTATGAAAAGCTATGTTGGCGCCTAATTAAAAGTGGGAAGTTCGAAATTATGTTATACAGACACTCGTTATTTCACTAATGATAATTACAAAAATATTTACATTAGCAGAACTGCACTCAATGTCTGGGTCATTGTCAATGAATGAAAGGTGTAATTTATTATTGAATTTTACGCTCTCAATTTGTATTACTGGCAAGATAAATTTCCTTTTCTTCCTTCACGTACTGTTTTGACCGAATGAACCAAAAAGAGATATTTAATTAAAAAAAAATAAATCATTCAGGGTGCCCTGAATGATTTTCTTATTGGATTGTAGAAAAACGGTGAAACATGTCAACTTGGGGGGACAAATTTCTAAGTATGAAATCAAATATTTTCATCCAACCTTCCCCACAACAACCCATATATTGAAAATTTTGAGGAGGGGAGTAATTGTAGAGTAACATCTTTTTAAGTCTTTTTTTCAGTTATAAAGTGAAACTGAATAAAAAAATTTACTGTGTGAAAGCTATTTTCGGATTTTATTGGTCGTGGTCTTTATGTTTTCATGCCTGACGTTTCATCTACTATCTAGACAATAGACAATATTAAATGCAAAAAAGAGAAATAAAAATTTCTGTGTTTTTCACCACTTTCAATTGTAACTAACATTACTGCAGTTTCGTCCTATATGGACATTCTCAAACTAATACAATAAATTAACAATGATTCATTACATTCGCCAATATATACCATTCAGGTACATGATGGAGTACCTGAATTTACAGTTCACAATGCGGATGTGCCAATTTGAAAACCGGAGAGTAAATTAAATCGATTTGATCATTTAAGAGGTTGCACTCGCAATGTTTATGCTTGTAAATTTCCAAGGATTTTAAATAATTGAGTTTGCAACCCTTCCTTGCATAGTGCAGAATTTCCGTATCGTTTATATTCGGAAACTTGTGGTTGCATGCCAAGGAATGGTTTGACAACCTCGAATCATTTTTTCCCAGTCTGAAAGACCTTTTATGTTCAGCATACCGTTTTTGGAAATTTCGTCAGCATTGTCCCACATAAACACTATTACACTCCGGACACTTAATCTAATGAACTCCAGATTTTTCCAACTTGTCGACCTTATCTTTGGCATTGAAAAGGAAATGAGACAACCGGAAATGAGACAACCTGGCATGTGGTCTGAATGCTACTTCCACATCGTTTTTTCTGAAGAAACCTGCGATTATTTCTGTTCTTTTTCCAAATTATATTAGCGTTACCCATTTCTTGATTTCTGGTTGTTTGACCTGAGGATATATTAATCTGTGAGTGAATTTCCGGCGTTGTTTCCTGACTAACTTCTGGATAGTATCTGCTTTGAAACCATTATTATGACCTATCTGTGTAATTGTATCAATTTCCCTAGCTAGATTGTTTGCTGACAAAGGCAGTGAGAATGCTCTGTGCAACATTGAGTTGTATGACTGTCTGGGTGGAAAGAATCGCTCGCAATGATTTGAGTTACGTCAATATTGAAAATTTTGATGACTTACTCGTCCATTCGGACGAAATTGTCAGATATTGTCGAAACGGATAAGAAGAATTGGGTACAAGTACAACATAAGAACCTGCTTCAGATCCGGAATCACTATCCGTAGTGGCACCATGAAAACCAGGCCACCAAACGCGGGTTTCGACACGAAGAATTTTATTTACCCGATACCTTGTTAGTTCGGTAAATCCTATAATGGTGAAATGAAAAGGCCATTGAAAGTCTGCATTGCCGAGCACAAGAGAAACACACAGCCAGAAGAAAGTAGTGAATCGGGAATAGCAGAGCATGTTTGGACTCATCAACATAACATCAAGTGGTTCCAAGATGAGATTTTCCACAGGGAGAAACACTGGTTCAAGAAAAAGTTTAAAGAAGCGGCATATATGTTGTCCAACGCCGCTTTCGGCAAAGCTAGCGCCGCAATACGCAACATATGGAAACCTATAATCGAGCGGAGAAATGGTTAACTTCCGCTAAACTGGTAGAACGGAAAGAGGGAAGAGGGGATAGGTGAAAACGTTCCACTGAACTGTAAATAGTTATCTCCCGGAGAAATAGTCCAATCATCATTGGATGAAGATTGTGGATGCTAACAATCGAAACTTCGTGAAGTGATTTGGTTTGAAACCGTTTTTAACTTCATGAATTTCATTTGTAATCGTTCAATTTTTAATTTTTTCCTAGTTGTATTTTATTGCAATTTCATTGTACGTTGTGATTGCTCAATATATTTTGTAGCTAATCATTTTAAATTCATTTGTTCTTTCAGAAACTTCAAATCACATTAGAATCATATAAGACAATGGAAGTCCGAACTGACAAAATTCACCATGAAAAATTGTCACCCACTTTCAAACAATGTCCTGAACGTTTCCTGTTGTCGTGAAGAATCCACTATTCAACACTTTTCGAGCTTTCTGACTTTTCCAATACGTTTCGAAACCAGCTTGAAAGCTGACGCCCTATCTTCGAAGCTAAAATTTTATGGTACAGTGCGAATGTCAAAAGAATCAGAGCTATCACAATTTGAGGCAAAAGTTTTATAGTGATTTTCAGGTTTTGAAAACGGAAAAAGATTGTTTTCTGAAACGACGACCACTAAAGAAAGCTAAGAATGAATATTTAATAACCACTCTTCAGTGGTTTTGAGGTGGAGTTTTCAGTTAAAACTTTTTAGTAGATTGTCTTTTGATTAAGCTCCGTTTATTTTCCAGATTGTGGAAGGTTATAAACCCAAAAAAACAGTAGGACTTATTAAGTTCTCTACAAAAAATATCTTTCAAAAAACACAAACATAATGCTTTCAGAAAACACCAGGGGAAGAATAATAAAGATGATAATAAATGAAACATTGACAGGTATGAAAGAGGTGAAGACGAAACACATTTCCAGCTCAATTATTTTACAAAACTGAGCACTTTGAACCGGTCAAACTTCTAGAGNCTGAGGGCATAGTGCATGTTGTCGACGGTGGATTTTTACTGCACAAAGTAATTCGGCAGAAAAAATATTTGCGCTATGTAGAAAAACATAACGCAGCAAGCAGCTATATTGTTTCTAATGGGTACCCCGAAATTAAAAAATTAGTTACTGTTACAACAGTACCAGCAGCTACTTCAACGTAGTCGTAGAAAAACCTCAAAACAATATTCCAGAGTTCGATTATCAAAACCATAGAAGAATACCATTTTTGTATCGTTTGTATTGACTTTATGTCAATTAGGGCCACTATCTTGCACTGACGAGTGGCTAATGAGCCCGAAACCGGTCTGCAAGTGTGCTCGTTCCAAAATTGAAGGTCGATTCTTTCAGTTGTATTGCTAATTGCATATGCAGGAAATTCTCTGTGAAGATTCGGATATAATATCGGATATAATCCAACGCCCTTCGTGGTATTAGCCGGGGAAGTAGTTGTTTTCTGATAGGCGTCAGTCCATTCAACCTACTGTGTAATACCCTTCGTGGTATTAGCCAGGGAAGTAGTTGTTTTCTGATAGGCGTCAGTCCATTCAACCTATTGTGTAGGTATATCCGAGACTGGCTTGAACGTTTGGAGTTCATTTCTTCAAATTACAAATTTTAATATCTCATAAATGTATAGGGGAGACCGGGACAAGATGAAGTTCGGGGCAGCACGGAAAGTGAGCTTGTGTGCGTGAATAGTAATCGTGTTCGGAGCGGCGACAGAGCCATTTGCACGAACTTCACTCTCCGCTAGTGTGTCCAAGCAGAGCGAACAGGTTAGAACTCATTTTTGAGTTGCAGAGAGAAAAAAGTGATATTGCAAGTGTTTTTACGCGATATTTGATTCGAAAACTGATGTACAGATACGTAGGTACCTGTGTTGATGTATTATTTCAATCCCGAGCTTATTATAGTAGTCCAAAACATCAAATTCAAACCAGATTTTTTCGCCGGTAAAGTTTGAGGTTAGAATTGCGTCATCTTTTTTACCTACGTGTGGATCGGGGCAAGATGATCGGNAGTAATTGATATTATGGATTATCAATTATGGCTATTAGATGTCTTCCAAACTGTTCAGAAATCATTACCTCAATCAGTTTTCATGTATAAAAATTTTTGGTTCTAGAAATAGTCAAACGTATGACTATACGGACATTTCCGAAATGTTCAGAATTTCAGAATGACATTCAAAAATAAAATGGCGCTAATATTAATTTATTGATTAGTAAAAGTTGAATGACATCGATATGCTACAGCAACTTGATGAAATGATGAACGACAACAAACGCTTTTTATTAATTATATTTCAATAATTTCTGTTTTATAAACGTTTGATCAATAAAATAATTAGTCTCTAGGTAGTTTCACCATCAAACACATGTATACCTACTCTCTTCCAAATGTTTGTTTTTTGCCATCTGGAATCCAAAAGAGGTATAATTAACTATCAATAGATGACACCACATCGTGTCGCAGCACTATTCATCCAATGGAAAATTGGAGAAAAATTCGACATACTCGTATAGCAATATTCATAATTGCTTATTTATTAGTCACAAAAACAGAATGGATGCATTTGATTATTGCATTGTTCATAAACCCGGAGATACCTGTATATTACTTTCAAGATCAATAAAATGAATGATTCGTTCATGATTATTATTAAATATAATTTTCCTTTCCTTCGTTGTGAAGAATCTTACCTGGTGTATAGGAATACATTCTTATCATCAGGAATAACTCTTGGAACTGATGGTTTCATAAAAATGGCGTTTATATATCAACAGTCTACTTATACTGATAATCACAAAATGCCGGTTATCACAATGATCACTATATTACACAGGGTGTGCCAAATTCAGTACAAAAAACTTGAATTTGCTATTTTTTTTTGGAATATTCAAAGATATCTGTTTATAACAACCGAGGATATTTATATATTTTCCGCATCATCGCTTCTAGAGACTTTTGACGTTTTGATGAACTTGTAATTGAAGTTCATTTTGAAATGAAAATAAAACAGTCGAAACTGATAGAATATAAGGAAATGTGTGGGGAAAAAGTGTTTTGGCTTTCTACTTATCCATCTTTATACAAAAAAATGTTGGCATATTTTGAAATTGATTGCTCTCCTCCTTTTCCGAAAGGTATTTACATTCGTTTGAATGGACATGAAAAACTAAAAAGCCAAAACTTTTCTTTTAGTTGAACTGTGACGCCTTGTTACTTATTAACGAAGCAAGTTAGCACATATACTTCGGGAGCTAGCAACGTTTGGAAAACAAGAATTTTAGAACAGTTGGTTTTTTGATATGCTGTCTTTCTTGCTCTTTCGGTTAGAGTCCGGGCTACCTGGCTGGCGGTAGTGGTTGCGTTTATTAATGCGCATC